AAGGAACGCTCAGCTCCTTGCTCTCTGCGATGTCCACCCTCGGAGGATCTCCAGACAGGCGTGGTTAGCCGTGACCTGTCCCCTGAACTCCACGCTGTGGCCCTTAGCTGTGAGGTCGCCCTGCCGACAGCTGAGCCGGCGGTGGCCTGAGCGCGAGATCTGCCCGAGTGCCTGCAGGCTGTCCTCTTGCCGCCCTCCGGCCTCGCGCTCTAGACGGCCCGTCGCTCAGGCCGGCCCTGGACCGCAGCGCGGCCTCGGACTGTCCCCTAGAGGCAGCGAGAACCAGCCGGGGGAGGGTTTGAGCAGGAAGCGACAGCATCTGATGGAAGTTTTCGGAAAGGATCCCCGGGGCTCCTGTGTGGAGGGAAGAGAGGTGGTGAGGGGCGCAGGGGGAGGCAGAGTGGAACTTCGGGGGCTTCTCGGGTGGCCGTCTCCAGCGTCGCCCTCTCATCCGACGGCAACAGGCTCGGCCGAATGTCCCGGCAGAAAGCCCGAGCAAGGGCAGGCCCAGCTCTCGCGCAAACCCGGCGGCCTAGCAGTGCTGCCGCGTGGCCCCCGCCCCGGCTCCCGCAGCTCCGCCTCAGCCTTCTGTACTCGCTGGCTGTGGTTCCCGTGCGTGATCTTTACACACGAGCTGGGCTGTCCCGCCCTGTAGTGGCTGACAGGAAAGCGGGAAGCTTGTGATGGAAGCCGGGGCAGTGCAGGGAGCCGGGTAGCCAAGGCTGATTTCACCTGCCTGTGACTTTCAGCTTGTTTTCAGATTTTTCTTTTTTCTAAACCCTGGCACTCTGGTCCGTGATTTATAGACTGACAGCTAAGTCGGCAGTGGCCGCGGCAAGGTTTCTTCCCTCTGAGTTTCCACGTTAGCAACGTCATGTGCCTGGGGGTCAGAGGCGCCGTCGAGCATCCAGGGAGAGGGGCAGTGTCAGGGCTGCGGGCAGCCGTGTTTCCGTGGGTGATGTCACCTGGAATTGCTGCCACTCATCCGCTTGATACTTTCTGCCGCGTCTTCAGCTGGCTTGGGCAGGAGTGACTGATATATTAAAATGCAGAGGAGCAAGGCTTGATGGCCTGTTGTGAATTCTCGTTAAAGATGTCCTAACAACACAGGGCGGTCATTTCTCAGGCGCTCTCAGCATAAAAAGGGTGGAAAAGAATGTATTATTAAGTGGTGGGGGTTTTTTCTTGGTTAATATATTCTCTTCTCTGTCATTAAATATTCCTGTATAATTTCTGAGAAAACACTGCACCAGGCAATTTGACAAAAATGAAATGTAAAAGGAGAAAGATTTTAAAACGCATTGTATTGTGTAGATTGAACAAAGGAAAGTAAACAGAGTACAAATGTGACTTTAAATTGTTTTAAGACAGTTTTTAAAATTCAACTATGAGTTTACTTTGAGATATTTCCAAGTTGTAGGAGTATAAATGTGTGTTTATGACCTCATCTTGTCCACAAAACACTGGATTTGGTTATAATAAGAATGTTTACAATAAAGTTAGGGTTGACAGATAAAATACAAGATGCCAAATGGACATACTTACACTAAAAAGATTCATCATTTATCTGAAATTCAGACTTAATTAGATGCCCCCCACCCCCAGTCTAGCAATCCCATAGAAAAGGGAAAACTCAAGTAAGTCAGTGAAGATAGGATAGGGTGAGGTTCAGTATAAACGTGGAGTCTAATATAATTATGAAAGTAGGGCCATGGTTTTGGCCTTGAGAGTCCTGGCTGCTGGACAGAAATGGACATAGAATCAGATGATGTACATCACCCAGAAAGTGGGGCATGTGGAGGGGAGACAGTGACTTGGGGCAAGCAACATGTTCCAGTTTTGGGGTCTGACAGGACACTTTTTCATGGTCTCCATTAAAGGGACCCTTGGAGATAGGGGTGGTGGTGGTGGCAATATCTGTCTTTGAGCATTTTATGAACTACACAGTCTTTCAAAGAGAAGTTTGTTAATTTAGATGAAGCCCATTTTACCCCCCCCCCTTGTACATTGTATTTTTGCAGTTATAGCTAAGAAATCTTTCCTCGCCCAAGGTCAAGAAGGTTTGCCTGCGTTTGCTCTGAGAAGTTTCAGATTTTATACTTATGTCTATCAACCACTTTTTAAAAACCTTTTAATTACATACAAAAACAATGCTTTCTCCCTCCCATTTTGTCAATAATGATTTGGACAAGGATAAGTTCTAAGTGCTCCTTACTATTGCCTAGGAAGTGAATTTTTCTAAACAAATTAATAGTAAGCGAGACTATAAGGGACATGCCTCAGAAAATTCATACTGTGTTCACACCCATAGATACTCACACTCACTCACACAGGAATATATGTATATAAAACCTCTGTTGGTCCTCTGCTTGTTTACTGTGGAGTAAAGAAAGGACTGTAGGACTTTCTCTTGATTTTGTGCTGTTAACTTTCTTTGAGTTACTGTAGGAATTTTGAAAAAGATCCATTAAAAAAAAAAAGCACCAATGAATTAGTCAAACTTTGTGCTCAGACTGACGTTTTCCCCGTTAGGCACATTTTCCTGTAGTTCTCGAGGGCCGCCGGCACCGTCTTTGTCAGAGCTTAAGTCGTCCCATCTGTTCGTTTTCAGCTTCCTGCCGAGGACCCTGAAGTTTTTGAGGTTTCATCCAAGTGTCTGTCTATACTGGTCCAGCTCTACGGAGGAGAAAACCCAGACAGCCTGTCTCCTGAAAATGCGGAGAACTTCGCTCACTTACTGACATCCAAGGAGGACCCGAAGGAGCAGAAGCTTCTGCTGAGGATTCTCCGGAGGCTGGTGAGTCCGCCAGGAGGCCGGCGGGCAGGGAGAGCTCGTCTTCACCTTGTTTCGGTAAAAGGGCTCCCGGTCCCCTCTCCCACGGTCCCCTCTCCCACGGTCCCCTCTAGTCACCGTGTGCCAGGTTCTGCCTGCGGTATCTTCTCCGAACGCTTGGCGAGCTGGAGAACATCGCGCTCCCGCCCCTTGATACGTGGGTGTGAACTGAC